TTGTTTCAATTTTCTATATAAAACACCTAAATACTTATTTCCCGCATTCCCGCGATATTCTCACTCTTCCCGCCTTTTCCGCTCTCCCAGCCATTTTCAATACTTCCGTATTTTGTTTCAATTTTCTATATAAAACACCTAAATACTTACTTCTCGCATTCCCGCGATATTCTCACTCTTCCCGCCTCTTCCAGCCATTTTCAATACTTACGTATTTTGTTTTAATTTTCTATATAAAACACCTAAATACTTATTCTCCGCATTCCCGCGATATTCTTACTCTTCCCACCTTTTCCGTTCTTTCCACCATTTTCAATAATTACGTATTTTGAGGAAAGCCGATAAGACGGCTTATCCATATGGCGAACCACGGCCTCTCGTCCGGTTACCATTCGAAATCGGGTATGGGATTAGTTATATTGTTTGTTTTTTCGGAAGCATGGACTTGGTGGTAGGGGATGCCGTAACCGACCAGCGGTTACGTGAACCACCCAACGACGGCGAGGAGTCCAGCAATCCTCTCGCACATAACCATCCCTTCATGGGATTCAAACCTGTGAACCCACGCAGAGTAATTAGAGGTGCGGTGGCGAGCGTATTTCTAACGCTTAGCCCGTTGAGCCACACCGCCGTGCGTCATCTTGTTGCACATACTTCCGGAGTGCCGTTTATACTTGAGTGTGCATGTATGGAGTAATTGTACTAACATACATATTATCCGTATCTTAGAGCGATTTTCTGTCACTCCCACTGTTTGTGAAATTTTCCGCTTTTTAGTGAAATTTCCGTACCCACACATCCCAAGCGTATATTTCCCGTTGCTTCCGTTTTCTAGTGCAATTTCTTTTAAACATACTCTGAAATGGATATTTCCCGTACTTTGAAGCGATTTGCCGTCATTCCCACATTTTAGATAAATTTCCACGTACATACACCCCCAAGCTTATACTTACAGTTGCTTTCGCGTTCTAGAACAATTTCCCCTAAACATACTACAAAATGAATATTTCCCGTATCTTAAAACGATTTCCCGTCATTCCCGCTTCTTAGTGAAATTTCACGTAGTTTCCGTCATTACCATAGTTCCCCCATTTTAGTTTTTGCAATTTCCCGTCGTTCCTGCAGTTCCCGCATTTTAGGGTTGTCCAGATAATTACAGAATTTACACACCGAAACACCGCACCTCACATTCGGGTCCCGTACCTAACGTACTTCTAGTGGGCGTAGCATAACAATTTTTTGATATGTCAATCCTAACCCCCTTCTGACTACGCCATCCAAAAATTACGTCACTAGACATCACAATCACGTCATAGAGCTTGCCAAATATACGTACGATCGCCCGAAATGGCATTGGCGCCGACTATAAAGAATTGACTGACGTTGTCGATCACTCTCCTATAGGAATCGTTGCGACGAGAAAAATAACTGTTCGATTTCGGGTGCTCGTTTTGGATGGCAGTTCATATAGTTTGAAGGGCTCTATTACGTCGCTGTGACGTCTTAATGATGTAATTCTTGAATGGTGTAGTCAGGTGGGGGTTAGGATTGATAGGTGAAATTTTACACATCACCATCCAATATAATCCACAACATCCCAGATAGCACAACTACGTTGGGCCAACGTTATAATCCGTCGGCAACCGTTGTACGCGGTTTTACAACCATTTACCATGGTAAGGCCATGATTGGCCTTCAACGAAACACGCCATTATGCAAAGAAATGGGCGCGCGATTCGAATATAGCACATGAGGTCGCCATTCATTTTGGCGGTACTCGTAATCGATATCCTGTTGCGAGGTTTTTGCCGTGGAGGGGACAGTGAAATTGAACTTTTAATGCTTCCATAGTAGAATGGCGAAAGTAGAGATAGTTGTAACCGTGTAATTTAATCTCATGGTACCGGTACCCTGAGTGCGTTGTCAGGTCACGGTTCATAAGGGTGATACGGTACCATACCGTTACATATTTATCCCTGGACACCGTAGGTACCCGTACCGGTAACGACAACGAGATGAGGTACGGTACCGGTAGTCTACTTGGTCTTTTGGCATTTTTTTGTTAAACTTTCCTAGGTTGCCATCTTTCATTTACCAGTATTCGTTATCGAGTACCGGTACCGTACAGTACCGGTACCTATGGTAGATACCGGTAAAAGTTACCGTACATATTTATCCCTGGACACCGTAGGTCTGTAGGTACCGGTAGCGACAGAACGAGATGAGGTACCGGTGTCTTTTGGCATTTTATGTTAAACTTTCTGAGGTTGCCATATTTCATTTACCAGTATTCGTTATAGAGTATTATAAAGTATTCAGGTATTGATCCTTCATCCCTGGATATGATTTTTTATATTTACTTTATTTGTCTAAGTGCAAACATTTCCGCAGCCCAAATCGCAAATCCAACCCGTTGGTCGACTTAATCCAGTAATCTGAATAGTTGTACATTTGTGAACCTTCTGTCTGATGAATTTCAACAAATCTAAATACAGATCTCAATTGGCTGAAATCTAAAATACGGTATGTTTTAACAATTGCCACAATCAAACTGAAACTAAAATTTGATGTTTTTAGGTAAAAAAATAGCTCAAGGATTATTGTTTTCCATTTTTGTTTTTGTAACACTTTAAATAAAATTTTGTTTCTAAAGTAAAACTTTTTACGCCACACATGCGAGATGCGGCATGGCCAGCCAGTCTAGGTGCGCAAAATTTTTGCAAACGGTCCGAGAACTTTGCCCAACCCTGCTCTAGTTCATATTTTCGGCTTTGTTGAGAAATAAATTACTGATTTCTGAATAATATTTTGTTTTAAATTTCAATAGAATTATATTGGGTATATATTAATATGATTTATTTTCAGTATGTACCGGTATGCTATGTAAGCTTACCCAACCAACCTTAATTACCGGTAAGTGTTATTATGTTTCAAAGTGAATTGGAAAGTAGACCGCTAGCAAAAAAGATTTGGGAGACTGGGCGAAGCCTATCTCTGTACAATGACTGCCAAATGTGCATGCAACTGTGCAATGCCCAGCGACTCTAAAAGCATGAAGTATTGTACGACACATCTTTTACAAATATTTGGACATATTTTGTGTAATATTCATTTTTTTCCCGTTATTCTTAATAATTATTACCGATTAGATATTCTGTCAAGTGTCAATATTACCATTGTAAGTTTAATGATATATACCATTTTTATAATAGGCCCTATGACAATGGACTGGAAATTCACCTGCTCCAATTCCCTCTTTCACGCAATCATACACTGCTGCACTGTGTCTTTTCAAGCATCTCAATGTTTCAATGCGGACAATGCCCAAAACAGTTTTTTTTTTTATAGTTTGATAGTAGCTCCTTGCATATCTGTGCCATAAAATATTGCACAATAGCTAGATATATCACTTGAATAATTACCTAGTACAACATCATGTGGTTAATACCGTATTTTCCGGCGAATAAGTCGCTTTTCTAGACCCAAATTTTTGGCCTAATTTTAGGGGGGTCGTCTTATTAGGCGAGTATGAACATTTTTATTTTGTGTCGCCTTATTATTGAATCGAGACAATAAAATACCTTCGGCAATAGCATCCCCCACGTTCTCATCATGTTAGTTTAAATAAATCGACATTCTCGCGCTGTGAATCTGGAATTTCAATGCTGTGATTATCATATTTGCATTATCATATATGGATTGAATATTACGCTACAAGAAAAAGTCATTTAGAGGCTATTTTAACCAATGCGCAAACGCGGCGACGGCTCGAAAGGCATTGCATGGTTTTTCAAGATTCCCAAAGTTGATGCGATTTTACTACCCGGACTTATTGGCCGGTTATATGCAAAAACCCATTTTTCAGGCTTAAAAACAGGCCTCGTCTTATTCGCTGGAAAATACGGTAATTAATATTAATGAAAAATTTATATTCTGGTAAGTAGTATAGGCCGTTCGTTTATCATCTGAAAGACAATTATGTACCGGTACTATACATTGGGTAACACTAACTTGATTTTCAGAGATCAAGCCATGCTCCAATCCAGTCCATGGAAAAATTGTTGGGACAGGCGGTAGAAACTCTTATGCTACAAGCTACGGCATCTGCAACTTTCCACTGATTGTAGTGTGGACTCTGACATACCGGAATTGATGAAATTCATTGTCTGATTACATTTTGATCCAGAATACATTCAAGGATGAAAAAATGGAAGTTGAAAAGTTGAATATTTTTATATGCTGATTACGGACATTTTACGGCGGTGGTTCCCAAACTTTTTTTCCGCGACCCCAATTTTTGTAAAATCACAGACTACAGATACTTGCGACCCCACAACGAGAAAACATTAAAAATTTATTTATTTTATTCTGAATATTCTATTTAATCATTCTGATGAAAATCGACTGTAAGTTTGCAGGGCGTTGGTGTAACGTGGTTGTACTTAACTGTTTAGTTCAGTGGTTCCCAACCTTTTTACCCCAGCGGGCAAGCAAAATTAATTTAAAAGAGTTTGCTGACCGGTAACACATGCCATCGTATGAAGACCACTATGTCAAAAACTCTCAGATTCAGAATATTTGTTTAGTTTTAGTACAATGTTAAAATATTGCAGATTACTCCATAATTAATTGGAAAGCTAAACAGAACATGAAGGTAAAATAGGTGAAAATACCTTTGCTGGGTCTCATCTTATTGAGTGCCTTTTATTTTTTGTCGTTTTTTTTTTTGACTGCATGAAGCGCTTCGAAATTATGTATGAAATACAATATGCCCCATATTTTCGCTTCGTGTTCAAGGAAGAATATTTAAATGTCTAAATACGATCCCATTGCAATATTAAAATTGTTCACTTTTATACGAATGCGATGTGGACAAAACACATATGTGTATATTTTAGAGTACATACTCGCGATAATTAACATAGAGCTTTTGCAACGGATGGAAACCTTTTCATTAAATGTTTTCTCATAATTGTGCTTATTTACTCATTCCAGATAAGATATTTGTCAAGTCTCGGAGGTTGCTCCAAGAAAGACTGGATTGGAGAATCATGAGCTCATGTATAACAAATTTACTCTCCCGCTCTTTCAACTGTGCAGGACGCGGTGGATAAGAAGGAGTGAGTGGGACGCCCTTAGTTTCTGCTATTAAAGGTGTTTCTGCTATAAAGGTATGCAATATGTTTATCATATTGTACCACCATCTTTCTCTGCTCTACCCTCTTCTATTTTATAAGTATAAGATTATTTTTACTCCTAATCAGCTTAAGATAATTCATAAAGGAAATGAACAAAAATTGATTAAATAGAATCTGACAATCTGGAGTGAAAACAAAACCTTACTTAAGATCAAAGCGTAAAGAATATAAGGTTTTGCCAAAAAGATGCCTATCGTGTTCATGAATTAAATTAAGTTACACACACACAACAACAACAGAGATATAATAAAATAAAAACAGGCGAGAAAATTTAGATAAGTTTGGTAGTAAACAAAATGTACTTGCCAATTGCCACACCATTCATTTTTATCATTATGATTATCAAATTGAATAATGATTTTGTATACAAAAGTGAACAGTATAGAAAAATATTTATTAAGGAGATATCGCCAAGCTGATTATGGTTAGAGTCAAGTGCCAAATTGCCAATCTAATGTTGCGAGAGTTTGGTGCATAATGGCAAACAGTGGTTTTCGAACTTATTTGTATCATCGCTCCCTTACAGTACTTTTTACATTATCATCCCCCCCTAGCACAACAGCAAATGATGAAGTTACAAATAAATTTATTGTAAATCAATTAAACAAATAGACTAATCATGGTGCATGATGTTTCTAATAAGATAGATGAATTTCAACAAGGAATATTTGAAGACATTTTAGTCAGATAAAATCTCAAATCATCATTATTCCCTCCAACAAATATTCCCCTCAAAACATTGTCTACGCCCCCTTTGCGGAATCAAGAATTTCTGTATTTCTCAATTATTATTGTCTTGTCAATGTAAGCTTCACTCAAACATTTGCGACTGCAGAAACTTGGCTTATGATTCCTCCTCTGAAAATTTGTTGGGATGCAGTCATTCAGACTAGGCTTTGAACTCTGGTGCTGTAATTTGCTAATACTGCAATTTAACACAGAATTTTAATATTTTTCAGCTCTGGATGATCTGGCAACGAACTCCGATTAATTTTATTACATGTGTACATATTTGTAAAATAAAGACATTTTGTTATTGTTTTTTATTATATAAATAATGTTAGATTAGTGGGAAATTTCTATGTAGTATAGATCAATACGAGTGGTCTGTACAACACATCGCCTAACTTGGCCCGACCATATGCCACGATTGTATTACAACGTGTCACCTACGTTGCAATTTCAATTGATTCATCTGTCGGTAACGTAGAATACGATTCATTGGTTTCAAATATGTTATGTGTTACACCGTGAGTTCTTTGTCATAGAATGGCAGAATGAAGCCGAACAACTTTAGAAGAAATAGCAACGAGCCAGAGGTTGAAATATGAAATTCAAAACAAAGAGCCACAGCCTCAACGCATACCATAACAGCGAATAATGATATTTTTAAATCTTGGCGCTCATTTTATTGCTCAATCAATGGCAACACAATCTGAATGTGCAACTGCAAATAAAGAATAAATCTAGAGACGGTTGGATAATGGGACAACTTGGATAATGGCAGGGCATGTCAGGGACTAATATCAATAAATGGATTGTGAGATTCGTCATGTGAAATATAACATCCCAAACAAGGATCCCGACGGCCACAACCAATGAAACCATGCGAAAACAGCATGACCGCACATTGACCTAACTCGTAAGCGCCAACGGGATATAAGTAGGGAGCAAATATACAAAAGGGATAGCGCGAACGCAGTCCCCAGTAGCAGAAATTACACGACCGAGTTATCCACATGTGGGATAATAGCTAGGGTCAATTTAGTCCGGGTGCAATGACTAAACTTTTTTTTAATTTTCTTTTTCACGGATCAGGACGACAAGTCTGGAATCCAGCCCAAAGCCTTCATACCCAGACTATGTCGACGGAAGCTTTATGAATCATTCTTTTCTTCAAGAGATCACCATTTCTTATACCATGTTTTGTGGTAGACTTCCTTCATCACTTCCGTTACTTATCAGATGGTATTACCGGGGTTGAGATTTAATGCCATCAACTGGGCGTTTGATTGGGGAAATTTATTAAAAGGCCCAATTGTAACATATCATGCCCGAAATGAAAAGACGAGAAGGGAATTTTGATAGTTTGGTGTCGAAAACCAAGGTTGAGGCACTCACTGTTATTTTTTCTTTTTTCCTACTGCTCTCTTGTTGCTAGTTTTGGATGTTGACGAGTCTGTAGATGTTGTGTTCTCTCTGCTACGTTTGCTGGTCAGATCGACAATTGGCGGCTGCATATTTGATTCCAGATATGCTGGAGCAGATGTTGTTTCCTTGAATACCGATGATGCTGTTGTGTCAAAAGACTCAATGTTGTGAATCTTCACTTTAACGTACGCTTTTCCCATTGAAGGCGGGTTGAACGGGGTGTTGCCGATGGTAGATGTTTCTTTGAGTCGGAACAGTTGCCTGGCCGGTCTCGATGGTGGTGGTGTTTTGAGCGGGCTGATCTTTTCGACGTCCTCGCATTCTGACCAGTCTTTGATCTTTCGCAGACAGTTGGATTCTGATACAGAGGTCGATACTTCAGTCACATCAGCAACTATGTTGGCAGGTTGTGCGACGTTCTGTGAGGCTGTTTGCACAGGTCTTTGCCGTCGAGGATTGGTCCAGTCGTTCGCAGGAAGAGTAATTGGTGGAAAATCTTTCTTCCTCTGGAGAGACTCTTTTCGTAGATGACCCGGTGTTTTGCAGTATTTGCAGACAGCTTCGTTTGTGCATTCCGAGTACCCATGCCCTGATTTTAGGCATTTCCCACATGTCGGCGTGTAAAGTTCCCTTGGAAGGAAGGTTTTACACCACATGCCATCGATGAGTCCCCGGGCAGACGTTTTTTTTTTAAATTCGTCGATGAGGAACGAGGTGTGCCCATTGTAGATCGTGGTGCCACGGTACCAGTTCTTTATAGCACTTCGAACTTTCCACAACCGAGCTGGTTGATCTTGGAGACGGCTTTGGCATACGAAGTCTCCGCGGGAATTCCTCTTAAGGAAATCCGTATTGGAGCCTTTTCGGGCAGTGATACAACGATTGTACTCTTAGTGGTGTGTATTTGCCCATCTGTAGCTGTGAGAAAACTCTCCCGGCAACTTGCATCTGGGTTGCCATTTGCAGCAGCAAATGTCAAGATCAGGTGCCCTTGCGACCTTCAAAGAGCCCCACAATGTTATTGCAGAACTCTTTGGTCGACTCGTTGTTGTTGAGGACGTCCATCAATGCTGGGGGGCTGAAATTGAGGTCTTCTTCGGTCTTCAGGAACAGAGTTCGAGGACGGGTGGTTGTTGAGGCATCTTCGTCTGGAGCAGGAGTTGATGAGGTGGCAGCGGCGTAGTTCATTTTCTTCGTCTTTTGGTGATCCTTCCGCTATCGAGGGCCTAACCCAATGAAGGGTTGCCTTAATCAAATAGCGAATAATAGCGGATGAAGCCTCACAACTTAACAAGAAACACCATCGAGCCAGAGGTTGAAATATGGAATTCAAAACAAAGAGCCATCCAATATATATATATTTTAAATAGTAGGCCTCGTCCCACCGATGCTTATTTTTTTATACTTACTTGTTGCAAGGGAGGCTTTCAGGTGGTATTTTTTTTTCTAAAAAAATAAAAGATATTTAACAGATTAACCGGCCTCGACAAAACATTTCCCGCCACATATGAGGGTTCGGATAAATGCACCCTGATGCACACTAATTGAACCATCTAGTGGCGAGGAAAAACGCAGTCATTTAACTAGAATTCGACAATGACTGGATTGTACTTACTTGTCGAGCCTGGATTGTTCAGTTAAATTATTTTTATTTCGTGATGTTGGACGTTTTTATTTCTCTTTATGTTTTTCTATTTAAATTGTAAATTATTGGGTAGTAAAAATCAAAACACGTTGTATATTGACGTCCACGTTGTTAGAACGGAATAGAAAAATAAAAAATCAGATTACTTTTCAAACTGGATGAAGAGCACATAACTATGGTAATGTTCAGGAATCCGCCATTACTAATTTCAAATGAATGTCATGATTATTCGAAAAAAAAAATTAAAAAATACGGTTCCAGGATGTGAATTACACTATACGGGGAGTCCATAAAGTTCCTTTACATTTTCAATTTTGTTATGAAAACAGTTCTAAATAAATCTTAACCAGGTTTGTTGTTTTTCAATCAGTAATTGTTCAAGTATTTTTACTTCATTCAATGCATCTGTGAGGGCCAAACAATATATGGTATCGATAAATTTCCTTTGAAATTAAAAAAAAAAAATTCAAGACTTTATGGATGCCCTATATTACGCTAGGTCACGTTTAGGTTTTGTGTGGCAGCGTTGGAAAGACTCTCGTCAACCTGGATGAAATGATGTACAAAAGTTCCTGTGTTTTCTGACAGACAGTCAATGAATTTCAACTTGTCAGACTAGACCAGGGGGTCGCGATCACACAGAGGTTAGAGCATTGGTCCCAATATGTTGGTGTTAGAACTTGACGTTCGCAGTCCCCACCCCATGTCCAGGATATAATAAGCTGAGCAGAGAATAATATATCGCAAATATTTCCGTATATTTTAGGAATGAGATTCCTAAATAGCAGTGCAGTATTTCAAAAAAAAAAAAAAACATAACATATTTATTTTCATTTTTGGGGATGTGGCGATGTACAAGTTTACTGGTAAGTAAAGTCTCCTCAACTGCATCTTAGAATACTCTGGTGGTCTTTTATTTCGTACTGAGATGGACTAGGTGTGCTGGGAAACCACGCATTTGCGGTTTCAAGTAAATATTCGAAAATAGGTTCTTATTAAAAAGCAGCGGTTCTCAATTTTTTTAGGCCGCGCCCCTTTTTAAAATTTGTGAAGTCTCGCACCCCACCTCAAGAATAATTAGCGAACAATAAACTACAAATACCAGATAGTAAGGCGAAAGTAATTATAACAGATAACAAAAATCACAACAGTAATTTCTAAACATCAAAGAAATGTAATTTTCTAAAATAAGGTGGCAAGATCAAATCTATCAAATATTTTTGTGTTTAGGCCCTCTTGTGGGACGCCTCCCATCGTTTGAGAACCACTGTTATAAAGACAATGCATGGAATGACTCAGAATCGACATCAACTAACGGCAGTGGAATTTAACTCAGCGGTTTACTCGGATGACTCGTAAAATGACTTGACTCGCGACGGGCAGTTCAAGAACTTTTACACCTAACAGTGGTTTCTAGCTGTTCAAAATATGCTGAGTCACATTTTACTAGCTTTAGTATTATTTTCCTGACTAACGTTTTACTTGAACCTTATAAAGGATAATCATGCCAAGTCATATTTATGTGTCTCCTAGCGCATTCATTTGCCCAATGTGGGTCTCAGCCAAAGCACTTAACTATCAAACTTCTACTGAACTAAGTTTGTTTCATAGGTTCTCTCACCAATATACCTGCCCTTGCCCGAGATATCCATAGGTACGGTGGGCGTGGTCAATACGCACGCATGAGTAATTTCATATTTTACGGTTCATTTCTTTTCTGGTAGTTTCACATAAATTGACAAATAATAATAAACTCACAAATGATCGAATGAATATTTATTATTATGCTCGGGTATATACAAAAATCACAAGGAGACAGCTATGAATTTTATTTTCTGAGCAAAAAGTTTCAACAGACAATTCAAGGCATGGGTTATACGGTTAATAATAGTAAATGAATAATATAAGTAATAAAAAGTGAGAACTCTTTGTCGTTTATATCATTCAGTCCGTCAACGAGGTTCTGTCAGGTTTTATATTTCACAGATGACACCGTGGAATGAGTCGTATGGTGGAACATTGAACATTCCCTGAAATGCATACTCTGGATCCATATCGACCAGAACAACAACATTTGTTCTCGATGCAGCGGTTATCGGATAATCAGGATACCACACTTCAGTTGCTATAGTAATTGGTCCTCCACTTGACAGCAGAAGCTGATTGTTCTGTAACAATTAAATGTACGGCTTCAAAATCTGTTTGCAGCCGACATATTGGTTGGAAAATGAAATTGAGTTTTATAGTGAAGGTAGTCATCATAGACGAAGTATAGCAAGTGAAAACCAAAAATTACTGGAAATATCACAAATTCCGTAATATCTGGCAAATACCAGATTTTTTTTTTATCTGCACAGTACGTGTATGACGTCACATTATATTTAAAGTTACAATCATATTGGGTTTTCTTATCCAATTCATTAATAAACCATGAGGCATCGTTAATCGTTAACCTGCCCATTATTTAGTAATTTTATTTAAAGACAAATTGACCCGATGAAGTTACAAAAATTAGTCAAACTATACTAAGATTGCGATTTATTAACTGACCTTATACTCCATCCCAGTCCAGATAGAAATCCATTCCGCAGTTATCAGTAAGCGAAGATGAGGGAGCAGCCACTTGTAATGCGCGAGGTCGTGAATGTTCGCTGGTTTTCCGTTATTCATCGATTTGCAAATTAGTTGAGCGTCGTAGAAGGTGACATTCTGTGTACCATACACAACTGCTTTGTAGCATTTGGAATCGTATTTGAAGTCACATTTAACTGAAAACAACATTATTGTTGTCATTGAATCTTTAATAATAAAATTTCAGAATATTTTACCGATCTGAAATTAAGATTTTGTCGCTTTGCTTATGAATTAAATAATCTTCCTTTTAAAATAGAAATTTTGGAAATACTGTAATCTAATCATTTTGGGATGAGGAAAGTCGATGAGACAACAGAAGTCTGTTTCAGATGTTATAATAACTATCAATTTTAGACACATGGTTGGTGGAGGGTGAAACACCCAGTGACAATTCAGGGTTCAATACTTAAAGTTTAAGTAAATTAAAACTGATGCTTTGACGGGTGTAGCATATTTCATAGTCATATTATAAATAAACAACATTTGCATTAACAAATATAATTACTTTCAGCTTTTTTCTTTTCATCAAGACTCTTCTGGATCAATCTGGCGATTTCTGTAAATAAAGAACATATTTTATTTGTGTGTAGGCTTATGGCATTTTAAATCAGTTTTTACCATATTATATCGTTCACAGTTTTTTATTTTATTGTCGGCCATTGTTAAACTTTTTAACCACTGTATACTTTGACTATCTTATACGACGAGAATATTTTTGGACCATTTCGTACGTATTTATGACTCAAAATTCTGTCATACGTTTACGGTCACGTAAGTATTTTCAAACATAATATATGTCATGAAGTAGGTCGAACTCACCGGATCCATCGTCTTTCTGCGAAATAAATTAAAAATGCAGTTGATTAGTGAAGTGATTATAACACGAAAGGTATATTAGATTATATTAGTTGCGTGAGATGCAGAAGTCTGATTTAAAATTGACCATGCAATTCAGAAAGCTCTTCCAAAAATTGCAGTTCTAGGAGTATCAATGGCTGCTTTTCTAAAGCCCTACTTGGAGACAAGTACGTAAAGCCCTGATAAAAAAAAATAGCAACAAAAATTTACCTTGCAATCTCCAACTTGGACGAGTTTCCCATTCACGATCTTGGAAACGCAGGATCCAGCTGTCAAAATGAAACGTGATAATTTTAAGTTCAATATAACGACATCTTGTGACAAAATTATAGATGTTGCTACACTATGAATGTGGTATATTTTGCAAATGATTTGAAAAGCTCTTAAATTTTACAATTCTTGGTATCAGTTATTTAATAATTTTATCTTACACAAATCTTACCCGGAACTTTTAGCTCCGCACGCAAGCCACAGATGAGAAAGATGAACAAAATAATTTTGACGAAGTCCATGTTCGCTTTTAGAAAGGTTTGATGACGCAACTAAATGCTTAGCTCTAAAGTAAATATCTGTAAAAAAAATATCCGATGGTATCATATGTTGCTTATCTTTTAAGCTCTGGCCAGAGCTCTTGGTTAGTTTCAAGAGGATCAATTTTAGAGACATTTTTCGACTATCCTGATCTATTTAAGATACAAATTTGAAGTTGATATGCAACATTCATGAAAAACATGATATATTAAATAATGCAGTTAAATTAAAGATAAATAAAAGTTCCCATCTAGCTGTGCCTGTTCTGAGTTACTTAGTCACTGGTACGTACACATAGACAGATAACAGCTAAATTAGAATAAGCACCGCAAATGATCAGACAGCGATTTCATCTGTGCTTTGTCTAAAAAATAAAACATAAAATATCCGCATGACGCAGAATCCGAATTTCATTCACTTTTTATATTTGTGCAGTTGAAAGCAGTTTATATTCGAGTGTGATGTTTCGTGTGACGTCACTTCCTGTGGTATATATATAACAAACTAAAAAACAGAATACTTTTGTTGCACCCTATTACCCTGTGCGTTTATATTGTTGTACGACGATACATTTCGGTATATCTACATACTGTATATAATAAGGCATTCATTGAACATCATTAAAAATCGTTAAAAAAATCAGAATGTTTTTTTGCTTGAGAGACTCGTTCTCATAAACATTTTCCGAGATATGCTATAGCGTTCGCAAACTAATGAGACAAAAAAATTACAGTACCAAAAAAAACAACTTGTGCGTCCCGCGGAGAAACGCCACTTTTGAATGGTGTGCGGCCTGCGAACTTAATTTAGTATGTGCGAGTAGTTCCAATCCCTTGCGTTGCAGAGTCTATACCTGAGTGCAATTCATTATCCAAGCCTAGGACGTTCCAATGCCCCAACAGCTAGCTTGTGCGAAACGAACAATGCTTTTCATAAAATCAATGACCAACTTTTTGTGCCTGTAACCACTTTAAAGCATATGTTCAATAAAGGTGGGCCCGTGGTTTCACTCAGTTGTTTGTATCTGGCCCACCTTGCGTAATCTTCAACAATTATATAGGGCGTTCATATGCTACATCTATCAACCATTGCCAACTTCCATGACCTTTGACCGATGCTGTCAACAACGTTTTCACTGATATTTGAGGGGACGCTCAACTTGCCGCGCCGTCTCGGAGTTTGCGCGGTTGCTATTTGTACCAGCTTTGAAAAGTCATGTTTGTCTAATTTACCCATAGCACGCAGACAAAGGCAGAAATGCATAACCTGCCGATTGCTTCTAAAAGTTAACAAATTATGCTGCAGGCTATTACCACGGTCTGTTTGCAGATTGCGTTGAGTACCGGTAACGTAGTGGTGCACCCGCACTGCAGTACCATCAGAAAACCGGATATCGTATCAAACTAGTCTATAGAGTACATTTAAACTCAAACACTGACATATTACGGCAAACCTACTTTAATACAGTTTTTGGATTTAACAAAAAAACTATCTCTCAGATCATCTACCGCCCAAATACTTGCGAATGCAAAGCAAAATCTTTAAAGCAGGGACAAATTTGGCCCCGGTAGCGTTCGTCACGGTCCGTTGATTCGTATGAAAGCTGGTAATAGTTGTACGACATCAAGTTCACCCAGATTCCAAACCACTCACTGAAAACAGGTCGGTAGTCGCTTAGAGAATCAACGAGCCCGCTATACGCGACTGGCCGTAGCAAATGAACAGACAGATATTTTATCTGTGCTGTATCCTTAAAAAATGAAACATAAAAACATCCGCATGACGCAGAATCCAAACATTAGTTACTTATTATATTTGTGCAGTTGAAAGCAGTTTATATTCGCGTGTGGTGTTTTGTTTGACGCCACTTCCTGTGGTATATATAAAACAAACTGAGAAAACAAAATATTTTTGTTGCACCCTATTACCCTGTGTGTTCAGTATGCTCTGTTGTACGGCGATACATTGTGGTATATCTACATACTGTATAATAAGGCATTCATTGAACATTGAAAAAAATCGTTAAAAAATGAGACATTTTTTATTACTCAAGAGCAGGCCTGCACAACATGCGGGCCGCATGCGGCCCGCTAGATACTTCTGTGCGGCCCGCGGGTGATTTGGAACCCGCCACTTCTCGGGTCCAACAATCAAAGCTGGCATTGTTATGCAAGCGCGCCGCTACTCCGATCATATTCGAAATCGTGATACAGTATTTATGTTTTGCACTAGTTTCAATAAATATCGAACCTTGTGTGAAATTGGTGTGCCCTTTGCGACCCCTAAAATTCGTCGCTCGCCCCCCCAGTTTGGGAAACCCTGATTTAGATATCTCAGTATTTAGACTGAATCAAGCTTGAAACAATATCTCACACCCATTAGTGCATATTAGCAACCTATCAATATCCCATTATTTTTACTAGCAGTTTATGAAACCGAAGTTTCTATTTGATTCAAATTTAGAACTTAAAAAACAATTCATTCATTTATGAATGGTGCAGAAATTCTTGCACAAATACTTTTGCTATTTATTGTAAAATTTCAAATAAATTGGAGCAGATTTTGTAGAAAAATGTAACTTAACAGTCAAAAAAGTACAACAGAGGAAGATCTGCATTGCTACTAAACGTATTGTTTGTCTAGCCTACAATGGAAATATCCAATAATAGTAGATATAACTAAATAAATTGTCATACATATATTTGGGACGATTTTACAAAACTGAACCTGAGTAAAATATTTTTGTGCAGTCAGTTTATACTGCAACACGCAATACCTAATTCTAATAAAAAAGAAATATTGATAATGAAGGGTGGGTTTTCAAGGTAGATGAACCACTAATACCTATTTGCCTTCTCATATGCAAAAATACTGTAACTTGTTTTTACTCAAGAAAATAAGATTCTTCAAATTTTTAAGCTCCTCAGTAATGAAAGTGTTTCATTAAATTCAACTGTTTCACAATATTGTTTTGATTTGTAGTTCATCTTGTGAAATACGTATGTGGCGAAGTTTGCGGCCCGCCAGGGCTTCATATTTCTGCTTGCGGCCCTCGTGGTTATTTGAGTTGTGCAGGCCTGCTCAAGAGACTCGTACTCATAAATTTTTTACGACATATGCTATAGCGTTTGCAAACTAACGAGACAAAAACATTTTTTCGTTTACTGCGAGTGTTTTTTAGTTGTATATCGGACATATTAAATTGACCAGGGGCGGGTAAATTGCGAAACGCGGGGTGGATCCGGTCTAACCAAGGGTTTTATCCGGCCCACACGTGCCTTCTTATATAACGACTATAGTTTTCAGGGATATGGATTTCCACTGAAAATAACGAATCGTATTCAACAAAACAGTCCATGTCCAAAAAAAGCCTACGAAATATTCACGTCAGCCATTATTACCAGTGTAGCGAATGTGCATTGTGTAACTATGGATTATAATGTATTTTACCCTTTCATATTAATAGCATGTAATATTTCATTGAACATTCCCTGACTTGCAGACTCTGGATCTCCATTAACATCAACACCGACATTTGTCCACGATGCATCAGACTTCGGATAACCAGGATACCACACTTCAGTTGCTATAGTGGTTGGTCCTGCACTTGACAACAAAAGCTGATTGTTCTGTAACAATTAAATGAAGGCTTTAAAATTTGTTGCTTGAAATGTTAATGCGACTGACATGTTGGATGAAAAATGAAAATATTTGCTTTCAGTAATAAGTTTTATAGTAAATGTAGTCATCATAGATGAAGTCTTGTAAGTTAAGTGTAGGAACTACATGAAAATGAGTGAAAACCAGAAATTACTGGAAATATCACAAATTCTGAAGTATTCGGCAAATACCACAATATCAATTGCACGGTTCGTCTATGACGTCACATTATATTTAAAGTTACAATCATATTGTGTTTTTCTAATTATCCAATCCATTAATAAACCATGAGGCATCGTTAACCAGCTCATTATTTGGTAATTTTATTAAAGACAAGCTTTGAGCCAACCTTTGACAAGTCAAACTCTACTAAGATTGTGATTTATTAACTGACCTTATACTCCATCCCAGTCCAGATGGAAATCCATTCCGCAGGTATCAGTAAGCGAATATGAGGGAGCAGCCACTTGTAATGCGCGAGATCGTAAATGTTCGCTGGTTTTCCGTTATTCATCGATTTGCAAATTAGTTGAGCGTCGTAGAAGGTGACATTCGGTGTACCATACACAACTGCTTTGTAGCATTTGGAATGGTATTTTAAAACGCTTAAAAACGGTGAAAAATCGTCAAAAAACACCAATAACCCTGCTAAAACGCTTAAAAACAGTAATAAACCGTCGAAAAACACCAATAACCCTGCTAAAACGCTTAAAAACAGTGAAAAACCGTCAATAATCACCAATAACCCTGTTAAAACGCTTAAAAACGGTGAAAAACCGTCAAAAAACACCGATAAACCGTCAAAAACACCAATAACCCTGCTAAAACGCTTAAAAACAGTGAAAAATCGTCAAAAAACACCAATAACCCTGCTAAAACGCTTAAAAACAGTAAAAAACCGTCAAAAAACACCAATAACCCTGCTAAAACGCTTAAAAACAGTGAAAAACCGTCAAAAAACACCAATAACCTGCTAAAACGCTTAAAAACAGTGAAAAACCGTCAAAAAACACCAATAACCCTGCTAAAACGCTTAAAAACAGTGAAAAACCGTCAAAAAACACCAATAACCCTGCTAAAACGCTTAAAAACAGTGAAAAACCGTCAAAAAACACCAATAACCCTGCTAAAACGCTTAAAAACAGTGAAAAACCGTCAAAAAACACCAATAACCCTGCTAAAACGCTTAAAAACAGTGAAAAACCGTCAAAAAACACCAATAACCCTGCTAAAACGCTTAAAAACAGTGAAAAACCGTCAAAAAACACCAATAACCCTGCTAAAACGCTTAAAAACAGTGAAAAACCGTCAAAAAACACCA